TTAGACCACTTGAATTTGATTATCTCCTTAACTATATAGATTTTATGTTACAGAAACTGCTACATAAACAGTTGTTACTGGCACCTAGTAGCTGCCTTAGTTCATTTTTGCTCTGACATAGTTCAAAGCATCAGTCATTGATTTAAACCGATAGCACAGCTTCATCAGCATTTTGAGTTCCTCATTGCATTTTTCCAACTTGTTTACAAGCATGACAGAATTTAATCCTATTACTTCACACTCTTTTTATGACTAACAGCACATCTCTTAGGGAAGCAGCACAGAAACAAAGGTTTATGGTTTAATTTGTTTTAAATAGAAAGGCTGTTCAGTAGTTAGCCTTTGTAAAGGCTTGAAATAATTTCATGATTTGATTTCAGTTTGTGAATAAAACGTGAACTCTAATTAAAGCTATTTAAGATTATAACTGTCTTCAGGAAATCAAGTGAATAATTCTGAGGTCTACGTTATTAGCCTTGTGGATCTGAGTCTATGTTGCAGCAAGCTGTACTGTCATCTCAGTTCATGAGTACAGTCTCAGCATAAATCGGGAGCTATAGAGTTCATGTTTTTTAATCTTTTGCACTTTAATTTTGGCATTGGCTAATTTTGTTTCATTGCTTATTCACTCTTACTCTGTAAAATCTGGACTGCTTTGTTCTCTTGAGATATTTGAAAATGGGATGTATTTTATGCTCAGCTACTCATCTGATTCTTCCCCCATCGTGCTCGATTCCTGTCTGGCAGAATAAGGAGATTGCAAACTCTGGTCATTCATCACCATAGTTGAAAAGGCTACTAGAAAATAGTTATGGTAGCATTATGATCTGGAAGCTTAGTCTTTAGCTGACTTTTTGTGCAGAAACTGTGTCCCTGCCTTCATGAAACTTGTAAAAGTCAGGTTATACTGCGTGGATTACCCTAAATCTACACTTCAGGTATGCCATCCCAAATTTGCAGTAAACCCCACTGATGCCAATAGACTTAGTTAAGGTTCATATCAATATTACTGAAGGCAGAATGTGGTTGCTTTGTCCCCTTCTTGACCCATGTTTTTACAAACAACTGACCTCTCTTAACTATCAAACCCAAATTTAAGTAATGATGGCAACTGCTGCTGTGCGTGTGGGTATGTTGCCTTCAAGCTATGGCAGCTAACAAAGGTTTGCAGGATTTCATTGTACTGCAGTCAAACTAGTTGTCATTTGATTGTTTTTGCACTATTAGACTTGACAAAGAATTGTTCAGCTTTCTCAGCTCAGAATGAGGTTATGGCCAGAAAAGTCATTGCAGAAAGTGACATTTTAATATTTAGATTTATTTGCCTGTGATAATTGTTTCAGCTTGGTTAGTACGGATATTTACAGATGTTCAGGTTTTGTATACGTTATTTTTAAACTGCACACACTTCATTAGGCCTCTTATGATAAGGTACCTTCCCTAGAGGACTTTAAGTTTATGTGTTGTGGGGACATAGCTGATGAAGCAAAAACTGGTGTGGCAAAGTGTGAGATAGAAAGTGAGAGTGGGAAAATGGTATTACAGAATACAAAAGGATTTTGGAACAGGACGTGAAACTGAGGTCATGCATGAAAACAGTGATGAAAAGAGACTCAGTGTGAGAAATGGGCATGATACTTGAAGGGACTATGAGAACAGATGGAGAACAAAGAAAACACCTAGTGGATACTGTGGGTGAGAGAGACAATGGAGCTGAGCATTGTGAATCCTATTGTTCTCTTGATCTCAGTAGAGATACAACCCTATAGAGTACTGTACTCTGCTAAAGATATGATGAAAAACTTCTCACAGTGCAAAGTGTTGGAGCAGCACCTAGTTTTTCCCGAAACTGCATTACTTAAGTCACTAACAGTTGCTCAGGTCCTATGGCAAATGGACTTTCCTGTCCATGTCCCAGCCACATCCTTTTCGTGTGCCATGAGGCTAAGTTGCCTTGTAAAATGATTTTTCTGGCTAAAGAACGTACCGGATTTTTTGTGTCCTCTTGGTAAAAGGCAAGTGGAGAAGTAGAGTGGAAGCTGGGAAGAATCCTCTTTGCAAATATCAGTAATTGTTAATCTTAATTCTTTCTTACTTGCATCTGCGATCAAGGAAGGTATAATCTGGAAGCTTTTCTTCATTGTAATTTAAATAATTATAATTTATTTCATTCAGAAGTTATTTATTTTAATACAATTTATCAATAAAGTTAATACAAGTTAGTAAGTAGAAAGAGTATTTACAATTTTAGACATTCTGGCTTTTTTTACATCAGGTACTAGGATTGGCTGCTAGGATTTGTAAAGATCATACTTTGGTGCACAATTTGCAATACTTTTCATGCTTAATTTTCACGCTGAGTTTGTGCAGTATCAGCTCCAGAGGACAGCTTTCCCAGAAGATCATTTAACCACTTTACAAAGTGTTGTTTTTCTTTTTCATTTTTTCCTCAGGCTTTTATTTATAACATATGCTTCAAAGTATGATACCAGGCATCATAATACAATTCTAATTTATGCAGAAAACATTTCTTACCAGCTTTCTCAGTTCCTTTGGTAATAATACCCAGTTGGTGTAGATTTCTCCTGTTGGCTTCATTTTTCTTTCTCATCTGTTTTGTGCAAAAATGTTTTATTATCTTGACAAAGGAAGAAAATATGGCATTGTGCCTAGCAGTTGTATTTTCTAAGTCATTAATTCCAATATCCACAGTAAGAAGTGTCATGTAAAAGTTTCAAGTCTACAAGAGTGAGACTTTTGAACTCCAATTTCTGCCTTTCATGGAGGGAACTCATGCTTTTCAGTTACAGACTATGCAGGTTTTAAAGGTTTTTTATTTTGTTTTATTTTTCTCACAGAAGAAACTTTCAATCAGTTCTAATCATAGTCAACCAGTCTTCCTGTGTCCATCCATGCATTTTACCTGAGGAGTGCCATTTGCTGCCTCTCTTGTGCTCCTGAAGTTACCAACTTTTTCCTTCCCTGAAATATTTTGTCAGATTTTTCTTTTAATTGTACAGAAAGTCAAATCAAATTAAAATTTGTGTTTAAATATAATTTGAACATATAAAACAAGAAAATCTATTAAGCTTTCTTGGGCATAAAGGCAAAATTTTATGCCAGACTACAGCTGCAGTAACCCATAATCTGAATCATTTCAAGATTATATTGGGTCTTAATTAGTGTCACAGTTAATCAGTGTGTTTGTTCATTACTAAGTAAGTAGTGGAATGAAACACTAAGCTTACCCAGAATGAGTAGAGAAACTCTTCAAATTGTAACTAAAAAAGAACAAACAAACAAAACTGTTAAAAAGGTACCTCTACTTTCCGTTCAAATTCAAATTATTGTGGAAGACATTTTCAAATGTATGCTGCTGGTTGTCAGGAAATACAGGAGTGTGCAGTCCCGATAATTACTGGTTTGGGATCACCAGCAGGAGATAATACATCAGACTATATTTGGAGGTTCAGTTTCCGACAGAAAGTTTGAGAAACATTTCTTTAAACATATTCAATAATTTATTGTGTTTCATAGCCAAAGAAATTCAACTCTGTTGCTTTGTGAAGTGAAAATATTCACAGCTTTAGAATAAGCCAGGGAGCTTGTATCACCTTGACTCTCTTTTGAAACAGTTCGTGGAACCTGCACCATATCCTGGGGTTGTAGACTTGGACGTGACAGATTGGCTATGTAAACATAAATCATTCATTTCTGCTCAAAGAAGTAACTTCTGTTAATTACTTCAACAAACCTTTTGTATCATTTTATTATGATGCACAGTTCTGTATTTCAGCTAACTGTTCTGGGGAACACTTCCATGTTCAACACTGCGGTAATGTGGGAAACACTGCTTTGCCATCCCACCAGCACTGAGATCTCACATGAGTATCTTTTCTTCCTCAAGTCATCAGTTAAAAAAACAGCAGTAACATCAAAACTGATGCCTGCCTTGCTTTGTCTTCCAACATGCACATAGTCTGAGTTAAAAGCTGGACACGGCTCTATCCCACATCCAGGAGGGATGGAACTGAAACTTGTACGTCCATATTTACCCCTTTCCGTGATCACAGCTGCCTCATTAGTCCAGACTAGAAACATGATCCTGACTACAACCAGTACTCCTCCTCAACCTTGGCAGGCAGCGCGTTATGGTCCAGCTCTCAGTACAGACATGGCATTGCATACCCTCAGTTAAATAGATTCCAGTTAGGAGCTGGCTCACTTCCATGTGGCTCAAAGCATGGACATGTGTCTGGTAGACACACCCAAAGTCCACCTGTAAGTCTTGTCCAAAATACCTGAGCCTCAAGCAATTGACAGTGTAGGTCCAGTGTGCCCACAGGTCTTGGATTCTGCCACCTTTTCATGCATTTAGTTTTTATTCAGACTTGCAGAGGTCTTTATTTCATGCACACACCATATAGCAGATTCCACTGTTTCTTAAACCTAACTTACATAATGTGTTTTGTTAAAATAAAGCTCATAGTTAGCTTCCCATTTAATGGGGAAAATGAACGTAGCAGTAATATCAATAGTCTGACAACATTAACACTTTTTCTATATTTAAAAGAAATGGGGTGAGCTCAACGAGAGTGTTAAATGGAGCCTACTCAGGGCATCTAATGGAGAGGCTTCCCTGTCTGGCCCAGGCAGAGGCTGTCATACTGGTGGGTGACTGCAAGCAGTGTCAGACCAGCTTTTAAAAGCTGCTGTTTCCACTCTCAGGTCTCTCCATCTGCTTCTTTTATTTTCAGGCTTCTTTTATACTTCTTTATCAGGCTGAGTCCTTTGTTTCAAAAGAATGGTTATTCCCAGAGAGGCCATCATGCCCCTCGGCGCCACAAATGGCCTACACTCGCTTGCAAGTACCCATGTACTACTTGGCATGCAACAAGCTAAGATACACTGATCCAGCTGTGTCACAGGATTTTTTAACCCTTGCACAAAAGGACAGCACAGAAATGCTGCCCTGTGTTTTCACTCTTCTCTCTTTGCAGGCATACCAGGCAGTGACTATATCAATGCCAACTACATAGATGGATACAGAAAACAGAATGCTTATATAGCAACACAAGGGGCATTGCCAGAAACCTTTGGTGACTTCTGGAGGATGATGTGGGAGCAACGGGGTGCAACTGTCGTCATGATGACAAAACTAGAGGAGAGGTCCAGGGTAAGGAAAGCATATACAATGTTAATAATATTGTACCTGAGTAATCACTTATGTAAGGTTTTATTTTCTTTCATGTATTTTTGTCTGCCTCCTATATATGCCCAAGAACTGATTTTTTTTAGGTTGCTTCCAGTTAAAAGTGTTCATACTATGAAAATCACTTATATACAAAATGTTAGTTCCACTGTGAAATAACCAGTTCATGCCACTTATTTCGTAGGATTTTTTATACTCTGAAAAACTTGAAATCTCTTGATCCACGGTGATTTTTTTGATTCACTGTGGTTTTTTTTTTTTTTTTTTTTTTTCTGTTTCAATCATACCGGAAATGTTAGGAGGTGATTGAAAATGTTACTTCCTCTGTAGTATCAAGAATACGATTGTATCATCCTGTTATGGGGAAGTTAATGTATGGCAACAGCATTCAATTTTCAGGTTCATATGGTATAGATTAAACATTACTTAAGATCAGTGAGGATTTGGATTTCCTTAAGAAACATAAGACTTCTTTTTTAGCACATGCTGGGTGCTAGGAAAACTCCACAACAGCATATGCAGTAACAGAATACAAAATTATCTGTGATATTTCAAACTCAATTTTACAGGACAAAGTAAAATTAGGAAAATAAGAGACTAAAACATAACGATATTATTGTAATAATAGAAGTATTATAATAAAAGATGTGTTATATGTGAAGGGAAATCAAAACTAATAATACTTTTTTGTTATATAATCAAGAAAGTGATGGAAAGAGTAGTAACAGACCACTGTGTGTTGCATGAAAATTTACTAGCAGGTCTGTATGTGATGGCGTTCATCAGTTCTAATGGTGGATGTTATTGCGCGGGGGGGGAGGAGTGAAAGGAAAAAAAATAAGAGAAAGATCATGAGAAAAAGAAAAGGGAAAAACCCTTCTCAGTGGCCAATCAGAAAGACAAGTGAGTGTCCAACCCTCAGCACCCTCTCCAGTAGAGCAGCTGGTTCCCCCATCTTACTTTTCCCACAATAACTCTGTATTTTATGTCAAGACGTACTCAAAACTCCTCATGAGTTGTTCCTGCTTATGATGCTGTTATCATTGCTGGGAGCATGCGTTGACTGGGGAAGGTGCTATGCAGCTGGTTCATTGCTGAGTTTTCTGCAAATGCATTAATGAGTCCTGTAGTGTAAACCAGAAGTTACAACCAAATGCAGAAATCAGGGAAGGGGAGAAAGAAGGGGTGATTCTACCATCAGTGGCAATCGCTTCCCTTGGGAACCTGCCATAACAACAGTATCAGGGTTTGCAAGTTTAAGTCCAGGGGATGAATAACAAAGAAGAGTGTCACCGGAAAAATACTGCCACAGGCATTCTGGATTATGCTGTCCTGGGAGCTTGTGTGAAGGGGTAGGGAGCTGCAAGAGGCAGGCTGCAAGATTACAGGTGGAAGGCCCTTAGCAATACAAAAAGCTAAAGTACCTAAGGTGCTGTGCAACGTGTGTTAAAAAATGCCATAAATACAGAGGATCAAGAACAGTTCAGAAGGAGAGAAAGAGACTAAGGAGGAGGAAAGGAGACTTATCATCTAGAAAAGCTTTTAAATCAGTAAAAAGTATCTTATGGAGGTAACTGGATAACAGTTGATATTTCAGTAACTCATGGATGAGTTCCATTTCAAAATAAAAATGTTTTTGCATGTGTAAGCTTGGAACAGGGGGGAATGCACTGTAAAGCCTAATGCTGTACTGTGTTGGCATTGATGTTTTTTTCACATGCTTGGATACATATAATTGCAATGATTACATAACTTGTTGAACTTCTTGGCAACAGTCATTCCTTTCTGGAGGCTTATTGAAGTACATATATATATTTATTCTTTTACCATTTCATCACTTTTTAAAAATAGAATAGGTGTTTTTCAGTTCAAGCAATGTATAACATTCTAATTACAGAATCACTTTCTGCATGTAAATTCAACCTACATTAACACCACTGCCTGTACGTATCTGATGGCAATTAGTACCTAGCAGAGGGTAATTTTATCAGAAATTTTCATTTTATCTTGAGTCTACAGGCCTTGTCTAGTAAAATTAAATTTTGCTCATTTCTTCACTAATTACTTCTTATATATTAAAGTTGCTGCTAAATAGCATCAGAGCTAAGAAAAAATCTGATCCTAATAAGCAACCCATTGCAGAAGGTGTATTTAAATACTTGAGATTTTATCTTAATACTGCAGGCCACAGGCACCCACTGTCTAGAAGGATGTTTTGATGTAACTAAATAAAATTCTACTCATTCTCTCCAATAATTGCTTAGCAGAGTTTTAAGCTAACTCTAGCCTTTGCTGACAGCACCCTAAAAAAACACTGATCAGAATAGTAATCACCTCCAGAAGTGATTACCATTCAGCAGCAATACATTCCTTGACCGTAATGAGAGACGAGACAATCTAGTCAATGGATTGTCTGTGCATTTAATGCTTAAGTTTGCGTATTTTTTTGTGCATAATTTAGCTCATTCTGTGTTCATAGGTCAAGTGAGTTTGATGCACTCAATGCAGAGCATTAGAGACCAGCTATCCAGTACCTAATTCAGCTCCAACCTTAGAGTCTGCAACTCTGTGAATATGGCATACCAGTTACCTCTTCTCCTAATACAGTAGCTACATGTAATGTAATTAATGGTATTGGTGGTGAGGCAGCAGTGGGAATCCCTGTGTGGAAAAAGAATATGATGACAACCTTTCATTGTTATTTTTTCTCATGCTATCATTTTTATATAGCGTATCCTTATAGCAGGCAACCAAGTGAAATTCCAAACATGAAATACAAACACTGTTACATACCATTAGAGATGAAGATCTTTGCTAATTTTGTTGCTCTTTTTCCTTTGATTCCTTTTTGATTGCTTTTGTGTCTTGGCAGCCTGATCATTATTCCTGCTGCAAGGCAAGATCATTTCTCTCTGGGACTTCATCTACTTTCCATCTCCATGTCGTCTTTTCTGTTTAGCTTGCTTTTTTCATTATGTAGTCCTGCAGCTTGATATCAGCCTTTTTAACCTGGACTGCATAGATGAAGATGAGGATTTTAATTGCATCTGCAGAAACAAAGTTGGTTCATTAGCATGTGTTAGATGTCTGAGTAACCTCAGCTTTGAGAATGTATATATTTTACAGCTGAGTACATCAAATGAAGATGTTACAGTGAATTCATTATTCATTTGTTTGCCTAAAAGGAAGGTGCAGGAAAAGAGAAGCTCTTTCACTAATAACCTTTCACACTTTGTTGGTTTCGTATGAAATGTCATCACCTGAATTTCACTTGACCTAAACCAGACTAGGGAGAGAAAGTCAGTCCAATCATTCAGCTACCATGCACATAATTTGTATCAAAAAGGATTATACACATTGGCAGTACATAGAACAGTGCTGGTAGCATATTTGTCACATACATGAGTTTAATCTAAATGAAATAAAAGAATTATACTGAAGGTTGCAAATTAGAGATTAAAAAAAGCAGTAGTGTGTTACTCTAAGGAAAGCTGTAGAGTATTAATGTGTGATACCTCTCTTCCCTACTCCTCTGCCTTCCCCTCCACCCCCAGCAGTGCAGGTTTTCCTTTCTTTTTTTTTCAGATCCTCTGAATTAATTTAATGTTCTGAGAACTTGGGTGCTGTAGTGAATGATGTGAATGATCAGATGAAGATAGAGAATCTTGCTTTATAGCAAAAGATAATATTTCCTCAAACAGGAAACATTTAGTCCTGGCCCCTGTTTCAGGGTACGATACTGTTGTGGATCATCCTCTTGAAAGAGAATTCAACCTTTTCCTTCTTTGCTATGTAATTCCTTATTTTGAATACACTTACTGTGTTGTTTTGGAGCTGATAGCTTACCTCCTTAACCTCATTGGCAATATTTTCTATGTTGGGACCGTAGTGCCTAGGATTAGAATCTTCTGTCAAAAAACACCAATCAGGTCAAAGCTAAATGACAATATAATGACCCTAGCAATTATTCAAATGAGCCAGATTCTGAACTTCTATACTGATGAGGAAGGCTTTAGTTTTCATAGTGATACTATCAGCTTCATTCAAATTTGCTAATGACTTAAGTAAATACATGGGGACACTACATTTGTGGCATTCTGTTAGCCTGATCCAGACACTTACTTGACTGTCAGGAAATAGATATCATCATCAATATTATAAGCCAAGAATATATAAAAATATAAGCATAGAATAATCATCTTGGTTTGTCAGAGTTTAACATCTTGCATCCTGGATTTTCACTGGGAAGGGGGAGGTAGAAACAAACCCAGAATAAAAGTCATGTATCCTGTCTCAGATTTTGTTCCCCAATATTGAAATAGGTGGGACTATTTGCATGGAGCCTGTATCAGTTCCATAAGAACATCTAAGGATAGTTATAAGACCCTGGACTTAGCTTCTCTCAGCTGGTCACTGATACCCGAGAGAGTCAGGAGAGCTGGCACTGTCTTGAGAAAAGCCAGGCAGACTTTTCCTGAGGTTGCTGCAACGCTAAATAGGTACCTGTGTTGTTCCAAGTGACATGCAACAGGTCTGAATCTCCCCAAATAGGAACACTCCAGCTAAGTCTTTCAATTCATTTTTTATAGATTTATAGACTATCCTATGTGTTAGAAAAATGAAGATTGGGTGACAGTAGAAATATCAAGTAGATGAAGATGTGTGTCTTGAAGGTGGAAATCGGAGTAAAATCATTTTGGGGGTTTTGTTTTGTTTGGTGGGTTTGGCTTTTTTTTGAAGGAATGGGACATATTAAATGAGGGAAGCTTTTTTCATATTCAAGTAGTATAAAAAACAAAAACATTTGAATAAGCATAGTGGAAAGTGTAATTGTACCTTTGGACTCTTTAGTAAGAATAGCTTTGAAACAAATTTCTGGCCACCAAAGATACCTAAGTCTTGCTATAGGCACAGAAAACATAAAGGCAGCTCTGGGAAGAACCTTAAATTGTTCTACTCCAAAT